TGGTAACAAGCCAGTCAATGGTGGTAACAAGCCACTCAATGGTGGTAACAAGCCAGTCAATGGTGGCAACAAGTCAGTCAATGGTGGTAACAAGCCAGTCAATGGTGGCAACAAGCCAGTCAATGGTGGTAACAAGCCACTCAATGGTGGTAACAAGTCAGTCAATGGTGGCAACAAGCCACTCAATGGTGGTAACAAGCCACTCAATGGTGGTAACAAGCCACTCAATGGTGGAAACAAGCCAGTCAATGGTGGCAACAAGCCAGTCAATGGTGGCAACAAGCCAGTCAATGGTGGCAACAAGCCAGTCAATGGTGGTAACAAGCCAGTCAATGGTGGTAACAAGCCAGTCAATGGTGGTAACAAGCCAGTCAATGGTGGCAACAAGCCAGTCAATGGTGGTAACAAGCCACTCAATGGTGGTAACAAGCCACTCAATGGTGGTAACAAGCCAGTCAGTGGTGGCAACAAGCCAGTCAATGGTGGTAACAAGCCAGTCAATGGTGGCCACAATTTGATGCAGAGGATAAAAAGCTAGAATGGGGCAGTGGGAAACAAGAATAGCTGAAGAGACGTGCTACAGCGGTTGGGGGTTACAGACAGAGAGACTGAAGAGACGTGCTACAGCGGTTGGGGGTTACAGAGAGACTGAAGAGACGTGCTACAGCGGTTGGGGGTTACAGACAGAGAGACTGAAGAGACGTGCTACAGCGGTTGGGGGTTACAGACAGAGAGACTGAAGAGACGTGCTACAGCGGTTGGGTGTTACAGACAGAGAGACTGAAGAGACGTGCTACAGCGGTTGGGGGTTACAGACAGAGAGACTGAAGAGACGTGCTACAGCGGTTGGGGGGTTACAGACAGAGAGACTGAAGAGACGTGCTACAGCGGTTGGGGGTTACAGACAGAGAGACTGAAGAGACGTGCTACAGCGGTTGGGGGTTACAGACAGAGACACTGAAGAGACGTGCTACAGCGGTTGGGGGTTACAGACAGAGAGACTGAAGAGACGTGCTACAGCGGTTGGGGGTTACAGACAGAGAGACGTGCTACAGCAGTTGAGGGTTACAGACAGAGAGACTGAAGAGACGTGCTACAGCGGTTGGGGGTTACAGAGAGACGTGCTACAGCAGTTGGGGGTTACAGACAAAGAGACTAAAGAGACATGCTACAGCAGTTGGGGGTTACAGACAGAGAGACGTGCTACAGCAGTTGGGGGTTACAGACAGAGAGACTAAAGAGACGTGCTACAGCGGTTGGGGGTTACAGACAGAGAGACTAAAGAGACGTGCTACAGCGGTTGGGGGTTACAGACAGAGAGACTGAAGAGACGTGCTACAGCAGTTGGGGGTTACAGACAGAGAGACTGAAGAGACGTGCTACAGCGGTTGGGGGTTACAGACAGAGAGACTGAAGAGACGTGCTACAGCAGTTGGGGGTTACAGACAGAGAGACTAAAGAGACGTGCTACAGCGGTTGGGGGTTACAGACAGAGAGACTAAAGAGACGTGCTACAGCAGTTGGGGGTTACAGACAGAGAGACTAAAGAGACGTGCTACAGCAGTTGGGGGTTACAGACAGAGAGACTAAAGAGACGTGCTACAGCGGTTGGGGGTTACAGACAAAGAGACGTGCTACAGCAGTTGGGGGTTACAGACAGAGAGACTAAAGAGACGTGCTACAGCAGTTGGGGGTTACAGACAGAGAGACTAAAGAGACGTGCTACAGCAGTTGGGGGTTACAGACAGAGAGACGTGCTACAGCAGTTGGGGGTTACAGACAGAGAGACTGAAGAGATGTGCTACAGCGGTTGGGGGTTACAGACAGAGAGACTGAAGAGACGTGCTACAGCAGTTGGGGGTTACAGACAGAGAGACTGAAGAGACGTGCTACAGCGGTTAGGGGTTACAGACAGAGAGACTGAAGAGACGTGCTACAGCGGTTGAGGGTTACAGACAGAGAGACTGAAGAGACGTGCTACAGCGGTTGGGGGTTACAGACAGAGAGACTAAAGAGACGTGCTACAGCGGTTGGGGGTTACAGACAGAGACACTGAAGAGACGTGCTACAGCTGTTGGGGGTTACAGACAGAGAGACTGAAGAGACGTGCTACAGCTGTTGGGGGTTACAGACAGAGAGACTGAAGAGACGTGCTTTAGCGGTTGGGGGTTACAGACAGACACTGAAGAGACGTGCTACAGCTGTTGGGGGTTACAGACAGACTGAAGAGACGTGCTACAGCGGTTGGGGGTTACAGACAGAGAGACTGAAGAGACGTGCTACAGCGGTTGGGGGTTACAGACAGAGAGACTGAAGAGACGTGCTACAGCAGTTGGGGGTTACAGACAGAGAGACTGAAGAGACGTGCTACAGCGGTTAGGGGTTACAGACAGAGAGACTGAAGAGACGTGCTACAGCGGTTGAGGGTTACAGACAGAGAGACTGAAGAGACGTGCTACAGCGGTTGGGGGTTACAGACAGAGAGACTAAAGAGACGTGCTACAGCGGTTGGGGGTTACAGACAGAGACACTGAAGAGACGTGCTACAGCTGTTGGGGGTTACAGACAGAGAGACTGAAGAGACGTGCTACAGCTGTTGGGGGTTACAGACAGAGAGACTGAAGAGACGTGCTTTAGCGGTTGGGGGTTACAGACAGACACTGAAGAGACGTGCTACAGCTGTTGGGGGTTACAGACAGACTGAAGAGACGTGCTACAGCGGTTGGGGGTTACAGACAGAGAGACTGAAGAGACATGCTACAGCAGTTGGGGGTCACAGACAGAGAGACTGAAGAGACGTGCTACAGCGGTTGGGGGTCACAGACAGAGAGACTGAAGAGACGTGCTACAGCGGTTGGGGGTTACAGACAGAGAGACTGAAGAGACGTGCTACAGCGGTTGGGGGTTACAGACAGAGAGACTGAAAAAGACTGCTACAGCGGTTGGGAGTAACAGGCAGAGAGACTGAAGAGATGTGCTACAGCGGTTGGGGGTTACAGAGAGACTGAAGAGGCGTGCTACAGCGGTTGGGGGTTACAGACAGAGAGACTGAAGAGACGTGCTACAGCGGTTGGGGGTTACAGACAGAGACACTGAAGAGACGTGCTACAGCGGTTGGGGGTTACAGACAGAGAGACTGAAGAGACGTGCTACAGCGGTTGGGGGTTACAGACAGAGAGACTGAAAAAGACTGCTACAGCGGTTGGGAGTAACAGGCAGAGAGACTGAAGAGACGTGCTACAGCGGTTGGGAGTGACAGACAGAGAGACTGAAGAGACGTGCTACAGCGGTTGGGAGTGACAGACTGAGAGACTGAAGAGACGTGCTACAGCGGTTGGGAGTTCCAGAGACACAAAAAGGTGCTAGCGCAGTTGGGAGTTACAGGCAGAGACATTGAAGAGACGTGCTACAGCAGTTGGAAGTTACAGACAGAGACGCTGAAGAGACGTGCTACAGTGGTTGGAAGTTACAGCCAAAGAAACTGAAGAGATGTGCTACCGCAGTTAGGAGTTACAGAGAAACTGAAGAGACGTGCTACCGCAGTTAGGAGTTACAGAGAAACTGAAGAGACGTGCTACAGCGGTTGGAAGTTACAGACAGAGACGCTGAAGAGACGTGCTACAGCGGTTGGAAGTTACAGACAGACGCTGAAGAGACATGCTACAGCGGTTGGAAGTTACAGACAGAGATGCTGAAGAGACGTGCTACAGCGGTTGGAAGTTACAGACAGAGACGCTGAAGAGACGTGCTACAGTGGTTGGAAGTTACAGAGACACTAAAGAGACGCGCTACAGTGGTTGGAAGTTACAGACAGAGACACTGAAGAGACGTGCTACAGCGATTGGAAGTTACAAAGACGCTGAAGAGGCTGCTACAGCGGTTGAAAGTTATAGCCAGAGACAGAGACACATGCTAGAGTGGTTAGGAGTAGATGGTGTGGTGACTGGCGGATGGTGTGGTGACTGGCGGACAGTGTGGTGACTGGCAGATGATGTAGTGAGTAGTAGATGATGTGACTGGCGGATGATGTGGTAACTGGCGGATGGTGTGGTGACTGGCGGATGGTGTGGTGACTGGCGGACAGTGTGGTGACTGGCAGATGATGTGGTGAGTAGTAGATGATGTGACTGGCGGATGATGTGGTAACTGGCGGATGGTGTGGTGACTGATAGATGGTGTGGTGACTGATAGATGGTGTGGTGACTGATAGATGGTGTGGTGACTGGCGGATGGTGTGGTGACTGGTAAATGATGTGGTGACTGCTAGATGGTGTGGTGACTGGTAGATGGTGTGGTGACTGGTAGATGGTGTGGTGACTTTGTGGTGACTGGTAGATGGTGTGGTGACTGGCGGATTGTGGGGTGAGTGGTAGATGGTGTGTTGACTGGCGGATGGTGTGGTGACTGGCGGATAGTGTGGTGAATGAAGAAAACTCTGCATGCTGTAAATGACAATGAAAACCCTTTTAAACACATATATAGAAGAAGACTTAAAGAGAATAGATAAGAGCAGACATGTACGATCTCAAGCAAACCCTTAAATATAAGGAAATTAATCATTTGATATCACAAAACCAGATTTAAACAAACAAGGAACAGTGAAACTGATTTTAATTATCCCGAGACATTCCTAACAAGGTTAACAGTCACACTGCAACTTGACCAATTTGATTCTACAAATGAATTCATTTTATTAGAGATATACCAGAAGTTCTTTCATCTGTCGCTACCTAATCAATCTCAACTGTAAACCTTGCAGCAGAATTTTGTGAGTGAACCGGTGTCAGGCTTGAGTTTCTGGGCCAGTGTCAGGCTTGAGTTTAGACGCTGGCTGCAGTCGACAAATGTGGCACAGAAAATATTTCAGAAGCGAAGAACTGAAAAACAAAAAAACACAGGTGTCCATCTATCTGGCTGGCAGCTGACCCCTACTCCTGGCTGGCAGCTGACCCCTAATCCTGGCTGGCAGCTGACCCCTAATCCTGGCTGGCAGCTGACCCCTACTCCTGGCCTGACCACTGGTTCTGTGGGAGAGAAAAGCAGATCTCAGGAGGGAGATTCTGACAGTTACACAACACTGAACAACACAACACAGAACAACAGAGTTAGACAATAAAATGACTAAAAAGATGAAACTGTAATGATGGTTTTAGAATCAGGGAAACCCCTTCGTAGTATGACATAAAGTCAGCATGAGAGAATGAATACTTGTGTATCCCCAGGATAACTAGGGCAATAGCTGAATAAAGATTCATTCTGTGGCGAAACCCCAGAGCTGACTGGAAGTGGATCGTCTGCATTGAAAGCTATGCTAAAAGAAGGTTGATAAAAAGATGATACTGACGTGTCCTGTTGAGTGCAATGGTGGTTGTGTACAAGTCAATGATGAACGCTGAAGCTTTGGCCGTGTGATCTGAAGCACGGGCAAATGTGGCCTGCATGCTATAGACTTTCTAGGCTAGGCTGTTTGTGAGACCAGAGGACAGGCACTCCTAGCTGATGGGCTGTGATTATTAAACGTGAAACTGTGTAGCACATTTGTCTTCTTTGCATACGCTGATGTGACACCCTGTCATTTGGTTTGCTAAAGGAGCAGTCAACTGAAAGGGAATAGTAGAGGTGAAAGATGGCGATAGTGGTGATGATAATGTCTTGCTTGCTTTATGCTTCTCACGTGACTGTGATGCTTGAATAATAAAAATGTCTTGAAACCCCTTTTAGCTCTAAGGTTACATACTTTTAAGGTCGGTTTTGGTTTCTGAATCTCTAGTATACTTTGCTAACTGGTTCTAGTGTCTGTACCCACTACATGGATTCTAGTGCTGTCTGGTACTAATGGCTTATCATCGACTCTAGCATCTTAATATTGTTTTTATCTATTGTGTCTCTGTTGACCATGGATCCATGTATTTTCTCTGTTGTTCGATGTCTTGTTTCATGTCTTCAAGGCTCCATGTGATGAGTTCCTTCTGAATCTCTTCGAGGGTCCATTTTATTAGTCACTCCTCTTCTAAGTCTGGTAGCCTGAAGGATTTCTTTGAGGGTCAATATTACTAGTCCCTCTACTTCTAAGTTGAAGGTCTTCCTTGAGGGTCCATGTTACTAGACCTATTCCAAGCCTCAATAACTGAAGGATCGCCTAAGTGGTTTCCTACCCATTATTTATACTGAGGTGCTGTGTTATGTGTTTTGTACTCACTACTGCTTCTGGAATAATCTTCTATGCTAAAATTTGTTTACTATGTATGTTCTAATTACATTTTCATTACATTATCTAATTTTGCACTTAAATACAGTAGAACCTCGCTTAACGAGCACCTCTCGTAACGAGTCATTCGCATAATGAGCAAACCAAATTGTAAAAAAATGACTTGCTTAACGAGCGACGTTTTGCATAACGAGTGACAAGGAGAGGGGAAGTCCCGGATTGTGCGCATGTTTCATCAGTCTGTGTTTAGCTTGTGATCACATATTTTCTCAAATTTGTGTTATAATGTGATATATGTACATGAATCCCCCAGGCCTACAAGATTACCTCCCTGAAGAATTTAAGTTCATCAGGATCCAATTTCTGCCTCCCAACACAACTCCGTTACTCCGCACCATGGACCAGCAAGTTATTTTTAACTTTAAGAAGCTCTACACTAAAGAACACTTCGAGCATTTTGTTCAGGTGACTGAAGGGATAAACTTCACTCTCAGAGAGTTTTGGAGAAAAATCACTTCCACATCGTTTCCTGCCTTAGGATGATTGGCAAGTCGTGGGAAGGGGTTACCAAGAGAACTCCAACTTCTGGCTGGAAGAAGCTTTGGCCGGACAGCGTTGAAGAATGTGACTTTGAGGGTTTCTAGACAGTACCTGTGGAACCTGTAGTCAACGAGATTGTGTCTTTGGCCACCATCATGGGACTGGAGGTGGATAACAGTGATATCGACGAGCTTGTGGAAGAGCACAGCCAAGAGCTGACCACCAAAGAGCTTATGGGGTTGCATTGTGTTTCACAGCAAGAAGTTTTGGAGGAAAGTTTGTCAGAGGAGGAGGTGGAGGTAACAAAAAAAGCAACATCTTCTGGTAAAATAAGAGAAATGTTGAAATCACGGGAAATTGTTGCATCTTACATCGACAAGCATCACCTTAATAAGGAAATGGCTTTGCGTGCTGCAAATTTATTTAATGACAATACTGTGTCGCATTTTCGCCAAATTTTGGAGCGTCGGCAAAAACATGTCTCTGGACATCTTTCTAGTTTAAAAAAAAAATTAATAATTAGATATATATCATAATTATTTTGACTTTTTTCTGCAAATCGAATTTGCATCGGGTGGGGGGGGGGGGGGTTTCCCCGCGTTTGAAGAAAAAAGAGGACAATTCACTCTCCTTAACAATATGTATATAATTTTCTTTGAATAAACGTTATACATAGCATTCTGTGAGTATTGTTTTTTTTTCGACATGGAACGCATTATCGTATTTTACATTAATTTATATGAGAAAAATTGTTTAGCATAACGAGTGTTTCGCTTAACAAGTATGATTCAGGAGTGAATGATGCTCGTCAAGCGAGGTTCCACTTATTTGTTTAGCAGCTGGCCTTATTGTGACTACCAGAAAGCCAGTACTACTGCGTTCAATCTGACAGGGACAGTCAACAATTACATCATATACCATTTATAGATTATTCATTTGCAAAATATTTCTCTAATAACAAATGATGGTTCAAGAAAGGGGAATATCAAGGCGGCCAAAACTTGTTGATTCCGATACAATATAACTTTGCTCATTTTCTACCTAGTAACAAACATATGATGGTTTTAAAAAGATCCCTGTTACAACTGCCATTAACTGGTGTTTACTGTATGTAAAGCGGTTGTGAGAGACACAGACACTGCAGCACTCACATCTTGGCCAGCACGGTTGCCCAGTTTCTTCTCTATGTTGAGCGCTAACATCTGAGACCTGAAGGAGAGGTTCTTGGTCTTCTCAATGACCTGCTGGTAGGGGGACACTGCCTGGGTGCCCATCACCACGTGGCCCTGTTCATGACATCAAATATCATTCACATCGTATCAATACCAACATCCCTTACATAATATACATCAATTTCCCTCACATTTTATGTGCACCTTTATTTAACAATCTGGCTTAATTGTATGCAGGGGCTGGTTTCTTGTCTCTCAGGTAGATGCACCATGGCTGCACACTCCTAATGAGTGGCCTTTTATGACATGCTTGCAGGGGTTTGATGGGGTTCTTTAACCCCAGTGGAAGTTTTATGGTTTACGGTTAGGCTATGATTTTCATAAATTCATTCCCTATTACATCATGCTCACTGAGGACCAGTTGCTCGATTATATCATGTCTATACAACAAGACATGCACCAATGTGCCACACAAACACTATCATGTCTATACAACAGGACATGCACCAATGTGCCACACACAAACACTATCATGTCTATACAACAGGACATGCACCAATGTGCCACACAAACACTATCATGTCTATACAACAGGACATGCACCAATGTGCCACACACAAACACTATCATGTCTATACAACAGGACATGCACCAATGTGCCACACAAACACTATCATGTCTATACAACAGAACATGCACCAATGTGCCACACAAACACTATCATGTCTATACAACAGAACATGCACCAATGTGCCACACACAAACACTATCATGTCTATACAACAGAACATGCACCAATGTGCCACACACAAACATTATCATGTCTATACAACAGAACATGCACCAATGTGCCACACACAAACATTATCATGTCTATACAACAAAACATGCACCAATGTGCCACACACAAACACTATCATGTCTATACAACAGAACATGCACCAATGTGCAACACACAGACACTATGTCTACACAGCAAGACATGCACCCATGTGCCACAAAAACAACAAAACAATCTGTAAAACAAATCATGACAACACTCAATATATGTCTAGGCAATAATAAGAAACAAAGCACACAAGACAACAGGCTTCAAGTTTCTCCTGTCTGGATGCTTGCTGGTACTGTCCGGGGTCACTGGTAGACTGATCTACAGGTTATTAGTACAATGACCTACAGGTCGTTAGTACACTGCCTTACAGAACATTGGTGCACTGTTCTACAGACCATTAGTAAATTGACCTACAGGTCATTAGTACACTGCCTTACAGAACATTGGTGCAATGTTCTACAGATCATTAGTACACTGACCTACATGTCATTATTACACTGCCTTACAGATCACTGTTATACAGATCACTGGAGCACTGTTCTACAGATCATTGGTGCACTGTTCTACAGATCATTGGTGCACTGTTCTACATGTCATTATTACACTGCCTTACAGATCACTGGAGCACAGTTCTACAGATCATTGGTGCACTGTTCTACAGATCATCAGTACACTGCCTTACAGATCACTGGTGCAGTGTCCTATAAGAGATTATGAGACAAGAAACTAGTGGCCAAAAACCTACCAGCTTGGAGTCGATCTTGGCATCGAGGTGAGCATTTCGTATAAGGTTGACAATCCACTTCTCTGCATCGTCAGGGCTCATGTTGAGTTTCTCTGCCAGCATGCTGCAGAACCATAGACATGGAACATTTAGTCTTTACAGACAGGGAACATTTAGTCTTTACAGACAGGGAACATTTAGTCTTTACAGACAGGGAACATTTAGTCTTTACAGACAGGGAACATTTGGTCTTTACAGACAGGGAACATTCAGTCTTTACAGACAGGGAACATTTAGTCTTTACAGACAGGGAACATTTAGTCTTTACAGACAGGGAACATTTAGTCTTTACAGAGAGGGAACATTTAGTCTTTACAGGCAGGGAACATTTAATCTTCACAGGCAGGGAACATTCAATCTTCATAGACAGGGAACATTTAATCGTCACAAACATCTCCAGGTTTATATGGGGCTTCTCAGCAAAAGAAAAATTAGCTATAGGACAAAAAGAGCTGTATACCACTAACTATGTGCCAGTTCTGATTTGTGGGTGTGAGTCATGGACAATTACAACAGCTCACAGAATCCAGTTTCATGCCATAGAAATGGGGTATCGGAGAAAAGTGGTTCATGTGACAAAAAGGACAAAGTTTGCAATCATTGTGACCTTGAACCCAGTTCTTACAAAACTTAAGTGGTCATCGGGGCAGGCACAGAACGCCAAGACCGCCAAACAATCTGTAGGACACCAGACATTCAGCCTTCACAAATATCTCTGGGACACAGGACATTCAGCCTTCACAAATATCTCTGAGACACCAGACATTCAGACTTCACAAATATCTCTGGGACACCGGACATTCAGACTTCACAAATATCTCTGGGTCACCGGACATTTAGTCTTCACAAATATCTCTGGGACACCGGACATTCAGTCTTCACAAATATCTCTGGGACACCGGACATTCACTCTTCACAAATATCTCTGGGACACCGGACATTCATCCTTCACAAATATCTCTGGGACACCGGACATTCATCCTTCACAAATATCTCTGGGACACCGGACATTCATCCTTCACAAATATCTCTGGGACACAGGACATTCACTCTTCACAAAAATCTCTGGGACACCGGACATTCAGCCTTCACAAAAATCTCTGGGACACCGGACATTCAGACTTCACAAATATCTCTGGGACACCGGACATTCAGACTTCACAAATATCTCTGGGACACCGGACATTCAGACTTCACAAATATCTCTGGGACACCGGACATTCAGTCTTCACAAATATCTCTGGGAAACAAGACATTCAGTCTTCACAAATATCTATTGGACACAAGACAGAGATGCATTGCCCAGATCTAGCATTTGTCAGCCAAAACACTACTGGGTGGTAACACACATCAACACTCCAATGGAACATGTGTGAGTCCGTTGGTGGAGTGTTCTACTAAATAACGAGCTCAGGTTCAAATTATGTCTTACTATCACCCACCCATGACACACCTGCTGACCATCCACCCAGGACACACCTGCTGACCATCCACCCATGACACAACTGCTGACCATCCACCCATGACACAACTGCTGACCATCCACCCATGACACAACTGCTGTCATCCACCCATGACACAACTGCTGACGATCCACCCATGACACAACTGCTGTCATCCACCCATGACACAACTGCTGACGATCCACCCATGACACAACTGCTGACCATCCACCCATGACACAACTGCTGACCATCCACCCATGACACAACTGCTGACCATCCACCCATGACACACCTGCTGACCATCCACCCATGACACAACTGCTAACCATCCACCCATGACACAACTGCTAACCATCCACCCATGACACAACTGCTGTCATCCACCCATGACACAACTGCTGTCATCCACCCATGACACAACTGCTGACCATCCACCCATGACACAACTGCTGACCATCCACCCATGACACACCTGCTGACCATCCACCCATGACACACCTGCTGACCATCCACCCATGATACAACTGCTGACCATCCATCGACGACAACTGCTGTCATCCACCCATGGCACCACTGCTGTCATCCACCCATGACATCCACTTAAACCCCACTCACCTGATACTGATACACTGGTGGATGCGACAGAAAGTCTCAAAGATAAGAAGTCGGGCGTTCTCAATGAAATCCTCCAGACATGCTACCAGGAAGAAATCGTTGAAGAGAACCTGATGAAAGACAACATTGTCACCATAAACGGTGGAATGAGAAAAGACTGTCACCATGAACAGTGGAATGGGAAAACACTGTCACACAAAACAATGAAAAGAGAAAACACTGTCACACAAAACGATGGAATGAGAAAACAATATCACACTAAACAATGAAATGAGAAAACAATATCACACTAAACAATGAAATGAGAAAACAATATCACACTAAACAATGAAATGAGAAAACAATATCACACTAAACAATGAAATGAGAAAACAATATCACACTTAACAAGGGAATGAGAAAACAATATCACACTAAACAATGAAATGAGAAAACAATATCACACTAAACAATGAAATTTGAAAAAATGTAACACTAAACAACGATATCACAGGCCTGTTCACGTTTCCCGTCTCAAGAGAGTAACGTCCCTTGCTATTCGTGCCTTCTTATGTCGCTGGACCTCTTCTATGTTGCGGGGGTCCAGCGATCTAAGGTGGAATGAATGGAAGGAAAGTTAATCTAATCCTGGGCCTGGGAACATGACCAGCATCAATATCACTCTAAATATTGAAATGAGTAAACTATGTCACACAAAACAACAGAATGAGAAAATGTCACACACATAAAAACAATGAAATGAGAAAACACTGTCACACAAAACAATGAAATGAGAAAACATTGTCACACAAAACAATGAAATGAGAAAAACAATGAAATGACAAGCTTACAGCTGTACACATAACATTTTACACAACAACAGTTTCACGCAACAGCAGTTTCACACAACAGTTTCACACACTACTTACAGTTTCACACTCCCGAAGCTTTTTCTGGGCACCATCAAAGTCATAGTGCACATACAAACACTGGACAAACTCTGTGATGGGATCCTTGTATGTGTACGACTCCTGTAACCAATCATTCACTTTGTATCAGATTTTTGTTTTTGCATTAAAGACATACATGATACATTTCAAGCAAACACTGACAGACTGGGGAGGGGGAACTCTTGACCAGGTCATGGCACAAACTAAGTACTAACACAGGCAGCCAGAGAGCAGTCGCTGAGGAAAAAACCAGACCTTATCATCTCCAGCCCTATCTGCTCACTAGTAACACAGGTCAGTAAGTCATCTACAGCACTGTCTGTTCACTAGTACCACAGGTCAGTTAGTCATCTACAGCACTGTCTGCTCACTAGTAACACTGGTCAGTCAGTCATCTACAGCACTGTCTGCTCACTACTACCACAGGTCAGTCAGTCATCTACAGCACTGTCTGCTCACTAGTCACACAGGTCAGTTAGTCATCTACAGTACTGTCTGCTCACTAGTAACACAGGTCAGTCAGTCATCTACAGCACTGTCTGCTCACTAGTAACACAGGTCAGTTAGTCATCTACAGTACTGTCTGCTCACTAGTAATACAGGTCAGTTAGTCATCTACAGTACTGTCTGCTCACTAGTAACACAGGTCAGTCAGCCATCTACAGTACTGTCTGCTCACTAGTAACAGAGGTCAGTTAGTCATCTACAGCACTGTCTGCTCACTAGTAATACAGGTCAGTTAGTCATCTACAGCACTGTCTGCTCACTAGTAATACAGGTCAGTTAGTCATCTACAGCACTGTCTGCTCACTAGTAATACAGGTCAGTTAGTCATCTACAGTACTGTCTGCTCACTAGTAATACAGGTCAGTTAGTCATCTACAGCACTGTCTGCTCACTAGTAATACAGGTCAGTTAGTCATCTACAGTACTGTCTGCTCACTAGTAACACAGATCAGGAAAGCAATAGAGCAGACTCATCCATGGCACTGTCTTTTCTGCACATTGAAGCTGAGGCACTTGCTCACAGTTGTCCAGCAGAATTACCCAATCAGACAACATCCCAGGCTGGATACAGTGTACTGTGACGGGGGTACATCGAGAATAGATGTGGGGTGTGTGAAGCCTTTGGGAAAGGAGGTAGATGCGCGTGAAGTGTGCAAAATTAATAGGTGTGGAGGAAGTGTTGAAACGTGCGGGTGTGTGAGGATGTCATATGTGCAGATATGTGATGTTCAGTTGTGTGGCATAGTCTTGTATCAGTATCTAAGGAGGGAGAGGTGTAACAAACAATGGAGGCAATTCTCCTGAGCCCAGTCAGAGTGTCTAGACAGAAACAAGACATACAAACTCACAACTATAGAATTCTCTCTGTGGTTGGACTGAATGTCTGAGAGGAAACATATACATATAATGAACAAACATACAATCTATCGATCAACATTATTAGAAAGAGGAAACATAATTGAAACTGGCAGACACACAACAGATGTGAGAGACTGACAGACACACAACAGATGTCTTCTTCTTCTTCTTCTTTGCGTTCGCCAGCTGTAAACTCTGGCGGAAGGTTCTGGTTGCTCGTCCACTACTGAACTGCAGTCCTGCTTCAGAACCTGAGTGTTGCGTGTGCATCAGTTTTACAGATCTCATTCTCTTGAATACAGACTGTTTCTTCTTCTTCTTCGCGTTCACCAGCTGTACACTCTGGCGTAAAGTTCTGGTTTTTCGTCCACTTCTGGACTACAGTTCTGCTCCAGAACCTGAGTGTTGCGTGTGCATCAGTTTTACAGATCTGATTCAATTGAATGCAGACTGCTGGTTCCTTGCCTCTCAGGCAGATGCACTCCGACTTCAAAGGAAGCTCCCCAGTTAGTTGACTCTTACGACATGCTTTTGGGGAGGCAGTGGGTCTATTCTTGTTTTCCCCACAATGGGGCCCCGGAACCCACACGGGGGACAGCAGATGTGAGAGACTGGCTGTTACATTAGAGATGTGAGAGACTGGCTGTTACATTAGAGATGTGAGAGACTGGCTGTTACACATGAGAGATGTGAGAGACTGGCTGTTACATTAGAGATGTGAGAGATTGGCTTTTACATGAGAGATGTGAGAGATTGGCTGACACATGAGAGATGTGAGAGACTGGCTGTCACATAAGAGATGTGAGAGATTGGCTGACACATCAGATATGTAAGAGACTGGCTGACACATGAGAGAGACTGGCTGTAGCTCTGACCTGCTGGATAACCTTAACCAGATCCTTGAGGACTGCCCTCCTTCGCTGCTTGTTGGTGATTACTGCCGTGGTCAGGTAACGGAGAATGTGAGGACATGTGGTCTGGATGGCATTCAGGTACCTGCTCACAGATAGCAGTAACACGTGGTCAAACATGTCCAGTGCAAAGGTGTCAAAGGACAAAGCAGCACAATCAATGTTACATCCATATAAAGATGCTGACAGTCAACTATACAGCACAATTACACAGTACAAGAATGCTGGCCCTCAACTATATAGCGCAATTACACAGTACAAGAATGCTGGCACTCAACTATATAGCACAATTACACAGTGCAAGAATGCTGGCACTCAACTATATAGCACAATTACACAGTGCAAGAATGCTAGAACACTATAGTACAAATACAAAATACAAGAATGCTGGCACTCAACTATACAGCACAAGAATTCTGGCACTCAACTACATAGCACAAATACACACAGTACAGGAATGCTAGCACTAAACTATATAGCACAAATATGCACAGTAGAAAAATGTCAACAATCAAGCATGTAACACAAATACACACAGTATAAGAATGCTGGCACTCAAATATATAGCACAAATACACAGTGCAAGAATGCTGGCACTCTATATGGCACAAATATACACAGTATAAGAATGTTGATAGTTAAATGTATAGCACAAATACACACAGTAAATAAATGTTGACAGTCAACTGCATAGCACAAATACACAGTACAAGAATGCTGGCACTCTACTATATAGCACATACACACATTATATGAATTCTGACAGTCAACTGCATAGCACAAATACACAGTACAATAATGATGACAAGTCAAATGTATAGCACAAATATATACAGTTCAAGAATGCTAATAATCAAATGTAAAACACAAATGACTGACTGATTGGCACCGAACCATCTTGTGCTATGAAGAGGCATGGGCCCATAGCGATGGCGACTAGCAAGAACCGCCTGTGTCAAAAGTTTCCACAATGATAGCAATTGAATTTCAGGACCATTGTTGTCAGAATCTGTGTTTAATCCGTTTCTTCTCAAACGCTCATCTCTCATCTTTTCTGCAATCATTTCTTCCTTCACTCTCATATCCTTCCTTCCTGATATGCCCTCTTAATAACACACAGTCCATGGCATTTTGTTCCTATGAGTACACCTCAATACCTGTATCATTCATGTTCCACTTGCACACATCTTTATACTGTATTAGAAGTCAGCCTCAACATCTACCAATCTTTAATTCGCCATAAAGGATGTCTTTAGGGACTCTTGTCATCCTCCATGTGTGACCCAGCCACCTGAGCCTTTGTAGACTGAGCATGGAAAAGACTGTTGTAGTACCTGCTCTTTCCAGTACCTCGGTGTTTGTGATTCTGTCCTGCCACTTAATGCCAATTATTCTTCTTAGACTTCACATATGAAAGCTATTTGCAGTCTCTCCTGGTGTGAAAAAGCTGACCAAGTTACCATAAAGCAGAGAGCGCTGAGATGTGAGAGACTTAGATTAGAAGTAACACAGATAAGATCAAGCACACCAACTAGAAATAACAGATGAGATCAAGCACACCAACCAACAATAACAGATGAGATCAAGCACACCAACCAACAATAACAGATGAGATCAAGCACACCAACCAACAATAACAGATGAGATCAAGCACACCAACCAACAATAACAGATGAGATCAAGCACACCAACTAGAAATAACAGATGAGATCAAGAACACCAACCAGAAATAACAGATCAGATACACCAACTAGAAATAACAGATGAGATCAAGCACACCAACTAGAAATAACAGATGAGATCAAGCACGCCAACCAGAAATAACAGATAAGATCAAGCACACCAACTAGAAATAACAGATGAGATCAAGCACAACTTCTAGAAATAACAGATGAGATCAAGCACACCAACTAGAAATAACAGATGAGATCAAGCACACCAACTAGATATAACAGATGAGATCAAGCACACCAACCAGAAATAACAGATGAGATCAAGCACACCAACTAGATATAACAGATGAGATCAAGCACACCAACCAGAAATAACAGATGAGATCAAGCACACCAACCAGAAATAACAGATGAGATTAAGCACAACTTCTAGAAATAACAGATGAGAGCAAGCACATCAACTGAAAAACAAACAAATGAGACAGAGTGTAAAGAAATTATGGGGAAAATGTGTACAGAAACTGACAAGAGAAATGAAGACATGCAGGCGGGCACACTTGTGTTGATGTTTAGAGAAAATGACAAGAGAGATGAAGACATGCAGGCAGACACATTTATGTTGGCGTGTAGAGAAAATGACAAGAGAAATGAAGACATGCAGGCGGGCTCACTTGTGTTGATGTTTAGAGAAAATGACAAGAGAGATGAAGACATGCAGGTGGACACACTTGTGTTGATGTTTAGAGAAAATGACAAGAGAGATGAATACATGCAGGCAGACACACTTGTGTTGATGCTTAGAGAAAATGACAAGAGAGATGAAGACATGCAGGTGGACACATTTATGTTGGTGTTTAGAGAAACTGACAAGAGAGATGAAGACATGCAGGCAGACACACTTACGTTGGCGTGTAGAGAAACTGGTCAATGATAAGGTCCCTGCCCCTGGGGTGGTTGAAGTAAACAAACAGACTCCAGTGAATCACCCAGGTCCTCTGTTGCAGCACCATCAGGTCAGAGTTGAAGGACTAAAGCAAGAAAGGTATTCAGTTAAGGACATATTCCACAAAAACACTTTGCTAACTGTTAACATAACTATCTATGGTCTCTCCTTGTGTAGACAGTGAGTCAACCAGGGACACATTTCATGAAAACACTTTGTTAACTGTTAACATAACTATCTATGGTCTCTCCTTGTGTGGACAGTGAGTCAACCAGGGACACATTTCATGAAAACACTTTGTTAACATAACTATCTATGGTCTCTCCTTGTGTAGACAGTGAGTCAACCAGGGACACATTTCATGAAAACACTTTGTTAACTGACTAGCTGTACCCGGCCACGCGTTGCTGTGCGATAGTTTGGCTAAATGGAAATGAAAGAAAATAGAAAACGCACGTGTCTAATACAATCACTGTCTGCTCAGATATAGATATAGTCTTTGATCACCGCCCACCACCACAACTAAATCCACCTACTACTATCTCCCTCATCAAATGTTTTTGGAAAAGAAAGACAATGGAAATCGCACGTGTCTAATACAATTAATGTCGCAATCATTCTCTGCACGGATATAGCGATAGTCTGGTTTTCCAACTTTAGAACACGCACCTTATAATTGTGTTTTTATATTAGTGGTCATTTAAATGGTGTTATTAGCACAGTAACAAAAATGGTTATTTGGTTATCACATGCTAAAGCTGTTTGTATTTTTATAGGGGACGGAAGTAAAGCTACAACTGTACTTGTGAATAACAAAGTAAGTCGTAAAAAATATAAACGCGGAGGTAGCGTTAGTAAAATATAAACAAATTAGGCAATGAGAACTTGAAAATCAAGTGTAAAGCTCTTTAATTTCTCTTAAATTTAAGTCATTACCCCCTCCCCTCTTCCACCGACTATTGCTCTCTCCCTCTTCGAAGGATTTCAAAATCACTAACTGGCGATATTTTGTTGCTGTAACTGACATTGACATCCCTGTCCATCTGGACTAAAATAGGGAGCAGGAATTGTAAAAGGTAGTGAAAAAGGCTAGTGCAATATTTACCACATCATCCTTCAAGTACCAGTACAACTACTAAAATAATGTCACTGCTATCTGTGTTACCATCGGAGTAGACAGAGAGTCGTGAGCCAGAAGATTTGGTTCCGCATGGCTAGTGCTGTCGCCACAGACTGGTCAGGTTAGGATGTATAATTTCACTTGCCGACAGAAAAACGCCATAACCTTACCGGCGGTCTTCACGTGAGAGCACTATGGTGTAACAGCCCTGATGTAACAACTATTACTGCTGCTGCTACTTTAAGTGGGTAAAGCAATTACTGTGACTTAAAGCTCTCTCAGTTAATAGTTTTCCCCCCCCCCCCCCCCCCCAATTCACCGACAACTCTTTCCCTCATTGAAGTAGTTGGGAGAGAAAAAAAACACTTGAAAAGCAAACGAACACAGGAAAAAAACACCATAATTAGGAAATGAACGCCATTGTAAACAGCACAGCTTAAAATTCCAACACAGATGAAATAACTAAATCTAAATGAAAATAAATGAAAATCTATAAAATTTCAGCGTAACCATGCAATCGGAAAGTTTAACAATGCAATCATAAGTATGCGAAATGGTCAAATTTAATTATCAAATGGTTTATCCATTTACTTTTTTTTTTTTTAAATATTAAGGCAACATGGCTAGTGCTGTCACCACGGCAGAGCAGATGAGGTTATTATTTTAGCCCGGGGTAAAAAAAAAATTAACGACTGCGGATTCGAACCCAGGTCTACCGCACATGGACCCAGTGTTCTAACCATTCGACCAAGCGGCCACTTAATCGGAACAACGAAAAGAGAACTCAACTATTAGACATGTGAGTCCCTACTACTGTGTCGCGATTAAAACACAATTCAAAACCGCAGGCAATTGTTTTCTCGTAGACAGATACTCCAGATATATTAATGAAATAGAAATCGCACGTGTCTAACACGGTTAATGAAGTTAATGTCGCAGTCACTGTCTGCGCCGACGTCGAGATAGTCCTTGATTGCCCCCCCCCCCCCCATCGAAGGTTGTTTGAAAATAGAAATCGTGTTTAATATGGTTATTGTGGCAAATATAGAGATAGTCTTGTTTGCTGTACCACGACCTACTCTATGTATTAGTATTAGAGAAGGCGTTGGCTGCATGTAACTCGCCGGCGAATGGTAAATACGGCGCATGCGCAATTACTAACGTGGCTATAATTAGAAATCACTAAAGTTAAAAATATTAGTTGCGTATATTTTGGCATAAATTGTGGTCACCTATCTCTAACAGTGACAGGTTGAATTTCAAACCACGACAGTTCAAAATCCGGTATCATAACAAACATATCCTGAAAATTTCAGCTAAATCGGTTCAGTAGTTTCCGAGTCTATAGGGGTGAAACAAACACACAAACATTGATTTTTATATATATAGATAACATAACTATCTATGGTCTCTCCTTGTGTAGACAGTGAGTCAACCAGGAACACATTTCATGAAAACACTTTGTTAACTGTTAACATAACTATCTATGGTCTCTTCTTGTGTGGACAGTGAGTCAACTAGGAACACATTTAATGAAAACACTTTGTTAACTGTTAACATAACTATCTGTGGTCTCTCCTTGTGTAGACAGTGAGTCAACCAGGGACACATTTCATGAAAACACTTTGTTAACTGTTAACATAACTATCTATGGTCTCTCCTTGTGTGGACAGTGAGTCAACTAGGAACACATTTAATGAAAACACTTTGTTAACTGTTAACATAACTATCTGTGGTCTCTCCTTGTGTAGACAGTGAGTCAACCAGGGACACATTTCATGAAAACACTTTGTTAACTGTTAACATAACTATCTATGGTCTCTCCTTGTGTGGACAGTGAGTCAACTAGGAACACATTTAATGAAAACACTTTGTTAACTGTTAACATAACTATCTGTGGTCTCTCCTTGTGTAGACAGTGAGTCAACCAGGGACACATTTCATGAAAAACACTTTGTTAACTGTTAACATAACTATCTATGGTCTCTCCTTGTGTGGACAGTGAGTCAACTAGGAACACATTTAATGAAAACACTTTGTTAACTGTTAACATAACTATCTGTGGTCTCTCCTTGTGTAGACAGTGAGTCAACCAGGAACACATTTCATGGAAACTAGGGCTGTACCGAACAGTGATTTTCACTATTCGGCTAAATATGAATAGTGCGACCAACTATTCGGCCGAATACGAATAGTATATTATCATCATCGGGTACCTTGCCCCACCACAATCTGTGATGTCCTGCAGCATGTATTAGTTTGTATGCTGACTCATCTCCATGCCATGCAAAAAGACTGTCAAGAATCTTCTATCTGTGTCTTCCTCTATCCCTCCTTCCACAGATCTTTCCAGTGGTCAACACTCCCACCTCTTTCAAAACCACTGTTCGCTCGGCCGTTCGTTCGGTGTAATTTAAACTAGGGCTGTACCGAAAAGTGATAACATAACTATGGGCTGGTCTCGTGTGGACAGTCAGTCAATGACAGATTCCATGGAAACACTTTGTTAACTGATAACATAACTATAGGCTGGTCTGGTGTGGACAGTCAGTCAATGACAGATTCCATGGAAACACTTTGTTAACTAATAACATAACTATAGGCTGGTCTGGTGTGGACAGTCAGTCAATGACAGATTCCATGGAAACACTTTATTAACTGATAACATAACTATAGGCTGGTCTGGTGTGGATAGTCAGTCAGGGTCAGATTCCACGGAAACACTTTGTTAACTGATAACATAACTATAGGCTGGTCTGGTGTGGATAGTCAGTCAGGGACATATTTCATGGAAACACGTTGACTACTCGATTCTGACAGAAAAATGGTTCTCAGCTGTGCCCATTTTAAAGCATTTATTTGTAAAGTGCATTTAATATGTCAGCAACCAATGTCAACTGCAATCTGTTGGACTGGCTAGTATTAATACCAGATATGTGGTGTTAGCGGCAATCTGATACAGTTGGGCGGGTTCTCTTAGAAAATACACTTCTTCTTCTTCTTTGTGTTCACCAGCTGTACACTCTGGCGTAAAGTTCTGGTTGTTCGTCCACTTCTGGACTGCAGTCATGCTCCAGAACCTGAGTGTTGCATGTGCATCAGTTTTACAGATCTGATTCAATTGAATGCAGACTGCTGGTTCCTTGCCTCTCAAGCAGATGCACTCCGACTTCAAAGGAAGCTCCCCAGTTAGTCGACTCTTACGACATGCTTTTGGGGAGGCAGTGGGTCTATTCTTGTTTTCCCCACAATAGGGCCCCAGAACCCACACGGGGGAGAAAATACACTATATTTCGGGAACTGCTGGTACTTGAACGAGACAGGATGTCATGGTAAGTCATGGAACCAATGACAGCAGCAAAGGCCTCATCATAGCTCATTCCACACCGTCAACTGTAATGCATTACTTGAACAATCAACGCTGTGCCAGGGGACGTGCAGAAACTAAACACTGTCAACTGTAACACATTACTTGAACAATGAACATTGTGTAGGGGGACGTGCAGAAACTAAACACTGTCAACTGTAACACATTACTTGAACAATGAACATTTGTGTCTGGGGACGCGCAGAAACTAAACACTGTCAACTGTAACACATTACTTGAACAATGAACATTGTGTAGGGGGAACGTGCAGAAACTAAACACTGTCAACTGTAACACATTACTTGAACAATGAACATTTGTGTCTGGGAACGTGCAGAAACTAAACACTGTCAACTGTAACACATTACTTGAACAATCAACACTGTGTCTGGGGACGCGCAGAAACTAAACACTGTCAACTGTAACACATTACTTGAACAATGAACATTGTGTAGGGCGACGTGCAGAAACTAAACACTGTCAACTGTAATGCAATGCTTGAATGTTGAGTCGGGGGACGTGCAAAAACGAAGTCGGTTGTTTTTTTTTTTTAAAGCTAGAGGAAGATCATCATACTTCTAGAAATCAGCTACTGAAACAGGTCAAAGTTACTTGAATGACTTTAGTAAAGGATTGGAAGTGCACTGCACTGGGTAAGGTAAGTATTTTGCTTGTCACTGATAGACCAACTGTAACTGACAATGACAGACTGTAACTGACAATGACAGACTGTAACTGACAATGACATACTGTAACTAACAATGACAGACTGTAACTGAAACTGACAGACTGTAACTAACACTGACATGTGACTCACATTACTGTCTATCTGGTCCTTGACCTTGTTGAGATCGTCTAAGGCAGTGTCCCAGTTCTGCATCAGAATCTCCGAGGCCAGCTTTCCCCAGCATGCATTCAGGAAATTACGATCATTGGGTGGGATCTGAGAAACAGCAGCCAATCAGTGATACAGCTTCACAACACTTCTTTACAACACAGCCTGGCACAGAGATCATATTCTCAGCTCAGCACACTAGCTCTGTGCCGATGTTTCTATATTGATGATGGGCACCTTTCCGTCTTTCCAGATGATAGTGTTATATTGCGCTATGAGGAGGCATGGGACTCACAGCCCATGGAGATGTGTGACTAGCAAGACCCGCCCGTGTCAAAAAGTCTTCCACAATAACAGCACAGGATTTCAGGACCATTGTTGTCAATTTTTGTGTTTAATGTGTTTCTTCTCAAATGCTCAGCTCTCATCCTTTCTGCCTTTCACTTCCTGATATGCCCCCTCTCCATACAACACTGTCCATGACATTAAGTGTCTTTATTAAAAGACCTTATTTCTGTTATGGGCATGTTATTTCTAAATTTGGCCTGCAAAACAGCCTATGGCAGGCTTTTGTTTCAAGCAGGCTGCAGGTGGCAACAGTCTTCCACCCACTGCAAGGTCAGCTCTGCACACGCACAAAGTATTCTGAAAGAAAAGCCAGATTTGCAGAGTGGCAAACATCGCTGATTAAGGTCTTTAGATTTTCCTCCAAGTCATGTAGATGCGTTGAGAAACAGGCAGATTTACAGGTTCTGTGTCATCTGGTGGTAAATAAATGCATGACAAGGCCCCTTTGGATCAGCAGAAAAAACAGAAGCTTAAACAGATCATCATCAAAGAAGAATAGTGCCATGGGAAGTGACCAGGGATATCAACAGACAAAGCAGAAGCTTAAACAGATCATCATCAAATAAGAATAGTGTCGTGGGAAGTGACCAGGGATATCAACAGACAAAGCAGAAGCTTAAACAGATCATCATCAAAGAAGAATAGTATCGTGGGAAGTGACCAGGGATATCAACAGACAAAGCAGAAGCTTAAACAGATCATCATCAAATAAGAATAGTGTCGTGGAAAGTGACCAGGTATATCAACAGACAAAACAGAAGCTTAAACAGATCATCATCAAATAAGAATAGTGCTGTGGGAAGGGACCAGGGATATGGCCAAATCTTCCAGGAAAGGCAAGACAAACATTTAATCAAACTGCTACAGGTATCATTAGAACTGAAATTCTCCAGCGACTGCTAAGATGGCAGATAGAAATTATGGGGATACTCTAGGTGCTAAGATGTCAGATCAACCCCCCCCCCCCCTTAGACAGGACAACTTACCAACACTCGAACGAAGTAAAGAAACTCTGCTGCCCCAGAGTAATTGCCACACTCGTACTGGAACTTGGCGTAGTCATACAGTGTGTTGATCATCTCGTGCTTGAACTGAAGAAGAAACACATGACATGACATTAGCTGAGCTTAGCCATCTAGTAATCCTGGAACTGCAACAATCCATGTGGTGCCTAACAGATCTTAGTGAGGTGTTGGAGTGCTGAGGGTCAATCATGGACATGTACAAATGTAGCAATGGTGGAGACCACTGGCTGACATGTACAAGTGTAGCAATGTTGGAGACCACTGGCTGACATGTACAAGTGTAGCAATGGTGGAGACCACTGGCTGATGTGTACAAGTATGAGAATGTTGGACATGTACAAGTATGAGAATGTTGGACATGCACAAGTGTAGCAATGGTGGAGACCACTGGCTGACATGTACAAGTATGAGAATGTTGGACATGCACAAGTGTAGCAATGGTGGAGACCACTGGCTGATATGTACAAGTATGAGAATGTTGGACATGTACAAGTATGAGAATGTTGGACATGTACAAGTATGAGAATGTTGGACATGTACAAGTGTAGCAATGGTGGAGACCACTGGCTGAAATGTACAAGTGTAGCAATGGTGGAGACCACTGGCTGATGTGTACAAGTATGAGAATGTTGGACATGTACAAGTGTAGCAATGGTGGAGACCACTGGCTGATGTGTACAAGTATGAGAATGTTGGACATGTACAAGTGTAGCAATGGTGGAGACCACTAGCTGACATGTACAAGTGTAGCAATGGTGGAGACCACTAGCTGACATGTACAAGTTAAGCAATGGTGGAGACCACTGGCTGATGTGTACAAGTATGAGAATTTTGGATATGCACATGTTTTGAGTGTCAGACATGTTCAAGTGTGGAAATGTTGGCCAGATAAAGCTGTGAAACTCTTGGACATATATACGTGTATGAGTGTTGGAGACCAGTCGTCGCTACAGGCTGATACTTACCCCATATTCCTTAGACAAAAAGTCATAGAGCTGGCGACCATCTCTGCAAGTAGGAATGTAACAAAACATGAGTGATAAGTTAAACCAAGATTAGCAAACAGATAACAGGACTTAGGCACAAATGTAGACATACCAGAGATGATAACAGGACTTAGGCACAAATGTAGACACACCAGAGATGACAACATGTAGTCTCTACCAGTGGGTTAGGACATCACATCTAAAGCACTTCATTAATGGCTGCGAGGTCCTGGTGAAGGCAGGTAATGTTTTTCATGTGAACTTCTAGTGATTTTCCCTGGTCTCTCGGTAGTAAGATCAGGCGCTCATGTCTATTGCTGTGCACGTTAAAAAAATCCCTTGGCAGTTGGAACTTGAGTGGTCTAATTGTGCAGCCTGGACAAAATTTGGAGTTGAAAATCTAACCAAAAAGTATTTAAGGATCATCACTGGTGCTAGGGAGTTCAAGCACTGCGCTGAAGTTTTTGGACTCAGGCTTGACTCAGAAGTGGAATGGAGCACTTATGGGTCACATATTGTGCCATGTTGATCCGTCGTCTAAACCTAATATACCACATGTGTGGTATGTGACAACAAACATGTGAAGCTGATGTTTAACATTCCCCATGTGTGATATGTATGACAACCCACTTTGTAGTGTGTGTGACCATCCACATGCGTGGCTGACGTTTAACACCCCACAGGTGTGATAAACCACTGAGTGGTATGTGTGACAATCCTCACGTGTGGCTGACATTTAGCATCACTCATGTGTGGTCAATGTCTAACATGCTGCATGTGGGGGTGTGTGACGACCATTGATAAAAACACACAACTGGAAAACAATGTTGTCTGTGAACATGAGACAAACAACACAACTGGAAAACAATGTTGTCTGGGAACATGAGACAAACACACAATTGGAAAACAATGTTGTCTGTGAACATGAGACAAACACACAATTGGAAAACAATGTTGTCTGTGAACATAAGACGAACACACAATTGGAAAACAATGTTGTCTGTGAACATGAGACAAACACACAACTGGAAAACAACATTGTCTGAGAACATGAGACATCCTGGAAAACAATGTTGTCTTGGAACCATAGACACAAACACACAACTGGAAAACAATGCTATCTGGGAAATGTGTAGACACACAAAACTAAACTGCCTACCTGGAGGTCTGTATTTGACGTTCCACCTCGGGGGTGGCAAAGATCTCAATGATACTGTCTGTTTTGGTCTGCAGATTCTTTAGCTGTGTGACCACTTCCTGTCGTTTGTCTTTCAGGGCTGCGTAGAAAAGGACAGGTCCAGGCATCAATCATATATGTGTACAGGAGACAGGTGTATATGGGAAAGATGTGTACGAATACCAGGTGCGTGGAGATTACCTGTATGTTTACAGAAACCCTGTTAGAGAGACAACAGTGCTGTGTGTACAGAGACCATGTGAGAGAGACAACAGTGCTGTGTGTACAGAGACCATGTGAGAGAGACAACAGTGCTGTCTGTACAGAGACCATGTGAGAGAGACAACAGTGCTGTGTGTACAGAGAACATATGAGAGAGACAACAGTGATGTGTGTATAGAGACCATGTGAGAGAGACAACAGTGCTGTGTGTACATAGAACATGTGTTTACAGAGATCATGTGAGAGAGACAACAGTGCTATGTGTAGAGACAAAAGTCCTTTGTGTAGAGACCATGTGAGAGAGCAACAGTGCTGTGTGTATAGAGACCATGAGAGAGACAACAGTGCTGTGTGTATAGAGACCATGTGTTTACAGAGACCATGTGAGAGAGACAACAGTGCTATGTTTGCAGAGAACATGTGCGACCAAAGACCATGTGAGACTGACTACAGTGCAGTGTGTATAGAGAACATATGTGTAGAGAATATGTGTATACAGACCACGTGCGTACAAATACCAAGTGTGAACAGATAACATATGAAAGAGACTACAGTGCGGTGTGTACAGATTCCATGCGAGAGGGACTAGTGTTGTGTGTACAGGTAACATATGTGTACAGAGACTACAATGATGTCAGGTGAACTTACTAGTGGGCACAGCTTGGTCTGGATACAAGTTACGGTGCACGTCCATGGCAAAGTCAACCATGTTGGTGTTGCTGAGTAGATCCAGCTTGCCCATGAGCATTTCTTTCTCATCGTAGATCTGTGGGTGGGGGAAAAACATGGCCATTGTAACAACACACTTTCAAATGCTGTCTTCATGACAACTCTACAAGTGTTATCTGCATGACAAGACACCTATTAGTGCTGTCTTCAAGACAATACATCTACAAGTGTTATCTCCATGACAACATATCTACACAAGTGTTATCTGCATGACAACACACCTACAAGTGCTGTCCTCAAGACATCTTCAGGCGCTGTCTTCAAGACATCTACAGGTGCTGTCTTCATGACAACACATCTAGAATTGTTGCCTTCATGACAACACATCTACAGGTGTTGCCTTCATGACAACATATCTACAAGTAGTCTTCACGATGATAACACATTTACAAGTTCATCAACATACAAAAGCTAACCCATACTGACAGAAGCTCAGATAGGAGGAGTCACTGGTGCAAATTGTCATGGTGACTTAATAGGAAGAAGTCAAGCCACCCAGATTTGCCCCCCAAAAAAAACACCCTGACAGGGCCTCAATCACATGTAAACTGCGGACTTCTTTCTGGTGAAAATACTGTGGCAAAAGTAGGATAAATGTCACAGGCTGATGTCGTGAAATGCAACAAAACATGCAGCACAGGTGGGATATATTTCCAGGAGTGATGTCGGAAACACAACAAACCGCTCAGTTAAACTTGTTGCCAACAGTTTTTGCAGCTAGGGGCGGCGCGGAGGGAAGCTAAACTAGATGGCTGGGACTCATGAGCAGCAGCTACTGCATTTCGTGCAGCTTTCTTATTTTATTTGCTTGCGAGTCTCAGCCATCTAGATGGCTAGGACTAGGAGCAAATAAAATGAAGGCAGCTGCAGGAAATGTGGTAGCTGCTCCTCGTAAGTCCTAGCCATCTAGTTTAGCCCCAATCTACACTGCGTGAGCGGCGTTGGGGTACTCTCGGCGGTGGCGGAAGTGCGCAATTTAAGTCGCCGGAAGTGAGCAATTGGGTTCTATATTTGTTACATACCCTTGACGTCATGGGAGACATTCCCAATAAAATTCCAGGGTGTTCAGGTTGTAGTTTCTTGAGGTTTCTCTACATCCAAGTTCACATCGCAAAAGCGCGCATGCTTGACTATGACGTGCAGCGTTGCCACTTTGGATGTTTTATATCCACATTTAGATGTTTTTGGTTGCATTTAGATGTCTTTTTGACGTTTAAAATCTCTTGATTGTCAATTCGTGCGTGAACCCAGCAGTTTTCATGTAGAATGATTGGCCCTTTTTAGGGCCTCCCTCAGTACCCCAATTGGCATTTCCTGCGATTGCACATAGAGTTCACATAGCCAAAGTGCACATTTTACATGTAGTGAAAAAAAAACCATAGTGGGGAAATAAACACATTGTGACAACAAACACACACACACAATTTACATTTCATTTTTTTTTTAAACGTGAAAACACACACACAATTTACATTTCATTTTTTTAAAAAGAAATTCACAATGGATGAAAAGCATCACGTAGGAATTGAACGTGGTGTCTTTCATTTATAAGGCGGATGTGATACCAACTACGCTATGCACTCACATGTTGACATGTTCTAAAAAAATATGACTAATATTGTTGACCGGCCAATTGCGCATCAACAAGCAGCCAAATGCGCACCAACAGACAGAAATATGTCGCACCATAAGACACTAGATGAACACTCAAAAACAGCAGCACACTTGCACCCCTTGAAGTAATAGACTGTCCAGTCAGCTGTGGAATTCCCACGTGGAAATTCGTGTTTGGGGGGATGTTAAAAATATAGAACCAGCAATTGACACATGACTGAGACTGAGGCCCTGTTGGGGTATATTTTCTGCCTCTATAATTTGGGACCGTTATTTATTCGGAAGATAGCCATAATTTGAATAATTTAAAATACATAATTACTCACACTCACTATAATAATAATAGTATCTGTTGATATGTAAAGAAAGACTGGATAAATACAGGCATTAAAATGTATCAGAAATACCTTTTTGCCATAACATTAACAGTGCGTGAAGACAGCTACCGGCCTGTAAACCCTATTCTCACGTGTTTACTTTTGTTTTGTTGCCCCGCCACTTCAGATTGTTCTATCGTATAAATATAATCCCAACTCCATGCCTGCAGCAACTGTGTTGCCTGTACAACACACACATAATATAGTTCCAGGATCGCAGACAGTGACACTAATTCTGGAAATGTAACGGACAGAGATAAGTTCGCTGGATCGTGAAAGGCTTGGCCTGGCAGTGACGTGGTTTTCTCTGAAAACAAACTGAATCACCACACACTTCTACAAAAGCTTCTATCTCCGAGGTCACTGCTACGTTAGAGACACATTAAGAGACATGAACAAGGTGATGGCGTGCACATAATACTCACGCCTTTAACTGTGAGGAACTCCAACAAGGGAAACACTAAGTGTCGATCCAAGTACTGGCCCAGCGTGGTGGTCAGATCGAACTCCGCCATTTTATTTTAGTGGATGGACGGACGGAAGTAGCTGCACGTCCATGTTTTTACATCGAGCCGGAAAAGCAGCGAAACAAAATACGAAATGTTTTTATCATGCCTCTCTTGTATTCGAGCATTAATGTCTTAGAAATGGCAATCGATCAATTTACTTTGTTAGGTAGTCATTTTCATGGCGAAGGAAATGCAAAGAAAGAAAGCTAACATGGTGAACAAATGTCTGCAAGAGTCGGTGTGTCGGCCGAAAGGTGCAAATTTGAAATATCGCAGCCATTATATAAACGGGCACAGTGCAATCAATGACCTCTTGGGTGACTGCCCGGAATAGAGGTAATTAAATGGTATGACAGAACTACCAACGTTGAGCTTTAGGGACAACTAATCGCATTCTAGTGGACCAACGGGTGAAAAAAAAAACACTGGCGTTGGATAGGACACAGGTTGAGAAAACATGAGAGCAATATTACTAGAATGTCTTCGAAATGGAACCCATAGGGGCATAGAAATAAAGGCAGACAAAAAATGGAGAAGGGATCTAGAGAATGAAGTTAAAAAGACAAAGAGGCCACGGAGTGAACCTTATGCAGTAGCGAAGGATATAACAACTAGGTGTGAAAATAGGAGGCAAAATAAGATGAAGGTCAGTCCTGTGAAGTGAAGGTTGGACGAATGCCAGCCCAGCAGACGTAAGCCAGCAGCACAGAAACTCCCAGAACCTAATATCCACCTCCAACTTCCGACCTCACTGTAAGTCCTCAACAGCATTTCAGCTATTCATACTGACCTTCTCTACACTAATGTCCTCCACTTCTTAAACCATGATTGGCTGGAAGAAAACCTGACTCAACAAAAATGGAGAGAGAAAAAAAGCCACACACACAAACCACACACAAAAAAAAAGAGGCACTATCAGCTCATGCACACACGCATGTATGATGCGAAAAAAAGCAGCTCACAAAGATGTTGAATATGGGACCCTGAAAGTGGCCTTGTGTTGGCCCAGTGACAGTTACTATTTGGTTCGAGGCGGTTTACCTGGTGGATGCCTTGATTCCTGAAGCGACGGAGTGCTGGAAGGAATGCGACCAAACAAAGCGTCACCTTCTTTTTCTCTTCCACCTTGTACCTCATCGAAGTGTCGGGGGGAGATGTAATATTCTTTGATGAGCTCTGTCAAGAGTACTATTAACTTATGTTCATTTCTTTAAGGCTGTTCTTAATGCCATCTATATTACCAAAAATCTTAATTTTCCGATGTAGGGGTGGGGGGGGGGGGGTATGCCAGACACATTGAACTGAGAGAGCTTAAAATATTATTTTAAAGTTCTCATTACTTAACTATTTCTATTTTAATAATTTCGCCATGGATGATTTTTCAGTCCTTCGGAGAGGGAGATATGACTTCGCAAGGTGATGATTTTTCAATCTTTCGGAGAGGGACATATGACTAGGGAGAAAGGGGGGGGGGGTATGTCTGACACAGTTAGCAGAGAGAGTTTAAAAGATTATTTTAATGTTCTCTTTTCTTCACTATTTTTGTTTTAATAATATCGCCAAGTGATGATTTTTCAATCCTACGGAGAGGGAAATATGATTAGTGGACAGGGGATGGGGGGGGGGGGGGTTATGCCTGACACAAATAGCTGACAGAGCTTAACATATTATTTTAAAGGTCTAATTTCTTAACTATTTCTATTTTACTAATTTCGCCATGGATGATTTTTACATCCTTCGGAGATGGAGATATTACTTCGCCAGGTGATGATTTTTCAGTCCTTCGGAGCGGGAGATATGAATGTTGGAAGTGGGGGGGGGGGGGTGAGTTATGCCAGACAGTTAGCTGAGAGAGCTTAAAATATTATTTTAATGTTCTTATTTCTTAACTCTTTCTCTTTCAATAATTTGCCATGGATGATTTTTCAATCCTTCGGAGAGAGAGATATGACTGGGTCGAGGGGAGGGGATATGACAGACACTGTTAGATGAGATCTATTTTCTTTCCTCTCCATTTCACCATTCTGGACCACAGCAACGCGTGGCCGGGTACAGCTAGTTACTCCATATTTTCCGAGGTCTTCCACTCGCGCTAAACCCGTTGTAACATTTTAGTGTGGCTCGCTGTGGCAGATAGTACCAGGGCATTCTTGTTAGGGCATTTTTGTGTCAAACCACTTCATTTGTTGTTCTTTGATGACCTGTAAGACTGACTTTATTCCTAGCATTCGTCTGATTTCATGATTTCGTATTCTGTCTTTCCTTGAAACTCCTGCAGCTCTTCTAATGCATTTTATCTCTGTTGTCACAATTTTACGTTTATTGGAGAACGTAAGTGTCCACGTTTGGCATTGATAGCATAGGGTTGGCCAAAAAATAGTTTTGATAAGATTCAGTTTAGTACTCCGAGGTATCTGCTTGTGTGTCAACAGGGAAGATAGTTGCCCCATTACTTGATTAGCTTTGGCACATCTGGAGCTAATTTCTCTGTCCAGTTTTCCGTCGGATGTGAAAATTGCTCCCAAATACCTAAATTTCTCTGTTTGTCTCAGGGTGTTGTTTTTTTAAATTTTTTTTCTAAATTGTCTTTATGTCTTCCTATCATCATTGTCTCTGTCTTCGTAGTGTTTATTTCCATATTATATTCCTCCCCTTTGTTACTAATTTGATTTAGTTGGTTCTGTAGGCATTCCGTATTTTCTGCTATGAGTACCTGGTCGTCGGCGAATAGTTATTCTGTCATATCTTTGTCATGATTAAAGTTCTTTTCGCTACATATGGTATCCATGTATGTTATTAAAAGAAGCGGCGATAGTACACCAGAGTTCACTATAAAAGTTCTTGACAACCCTGCCTTCGATCTTATGCAGCATTTACTACGCGTGTAAGGCTTTTGCAAATATTAATGAGATGATTGCTGACTCCCTTTTCTCCTATACATTCACAAAACGTTACCACCACACGCAGCACATGAACGAAGACAGGATAAAGCCTCTGCTCATTCTAGGAGTTTATATATCCAGTTTCGTCCTTTTTAGGACGAAATTTTTTGTCATTTGAAGACCTACTCTGGCTTTTGCCAGGGGCCGCAATATAGGCAGGCCATACATACGGCCAAGTGTCTGAACGCGGTTTCTGGGACCTCTCCACGGCGATCCTCATCCGCATGGTGGCACCTTGTGTCATCGGGTGTTTGACGCTTGTGTGATGTCCTGGTGGGGTAGAAAGTCAGTCAGTCAGTCTAGGAGCTGGCTGAAATTGACAGAAAGTTTTTTTCTATACAGATATTCTATAAAAAGAAGTCGACTGGCGTGATATTGACCAATCACATACAGAGTGCCGATTGATCTATAAAATATAGGTCTAGCCATTTTTGCACAATGCATCCGAAGGCGAAAAAAAAAAAATAATTTACAAACAATTCCTGCCTCTACCAATATTAGTTTGTTTTGTTTATAACGATAGTTTCACTTTTGCCAACGATTGTTTTTTTCTTTCTAGGCCGGTGCAAGATTTCGAAAGACCAAGATGGAGGGCGACAAGAAACAGTTGCTGTCGTTTGGCTTCACCAAGAAACAGGACAATGTACAACTTGCCAAGTCGGCCGTTAGCGAGGATGTTGATCAACAAGTTCACGAAACTGATTATGTTCTCTCACTGGAAGGTAAAGAAGTGAAGTCATTAAAACGTTCAGATAAGCCGATTAAGAGAGAATATATCATTCCACTGATCAAACACAACAAATGGCGAGCTGCTGAGGGCTCAGGCGATAACGTAAACACGGACACGCCAGCAAGTCTTGACCAGCAGGCTCTTCAGGAGGTTCTACAAGATACAGCTCGCTACAACCAAGAATGGGTTGACAGGGGTCAGGAAGACACACACAGCGTCATTCCCCTGTTGCTGCAGAACAAGATCCCTGAGGGGTTTGAATCTGACGAGCGTTTGGATGTGGCGCTGAGACCCCAGGAGCCCAGCGAGGCCGACTACCAGCAGGTTCCCATCGAACAGTTTGGTCTGGCCATGTTGAGAGGCATGGGCTGGAGCAAAGACAAAGGTATCGGCAAGAACAGTAAAGTTACAGTACCTGTAGAAGCACACATACGGCCGAAAGGCTTAGGGCTGGGAGCTGATCGCAACAACTCAGGGCCAGACAAGACAAATCTAGCTCACAATGGAGTTGATGACAAAGGAGAAGAACTTGAGTTGAAGAAATCTGCCCACTGTGTGCTGACTGCCGGAAGTAACAAAGACTTGTACGGGACCATTGAGGGAATTGATGAAGATAATTCTCGGGTGATGATCAAACTAGCACTCAGTGGTAAAGTTGTCAACATCATGCAGTCCAATGTCCGTGTGGTTGGTAAGCCAGAATTTGAGAAATATTCCAAATACCTCAACAAGCAGAAAACCGACGAATATAAAGACAATGAAATAAAAAGGCTGGAAAACTTGGAGGATGGTAAACATTCAGATGCATCTAAATCACAGAAGTCTAAAGGAGGAATGACTATGCAGTCTGACAGTGATTCTGATGTTCACAGTAGCCGAGATAAGAGAAGTATGACCGGTGACAAGCGCAGGTATGATGATGAGAATCAGCGACGGTCTAAGCACAAGAAGAGAGGTGACAGAACAGATAAACACAGCAGACAGAAAGTAGATTCCTCATTAGACTGTGTAGAATCAGATGAGAGAAAACATTCTCGTAGAGAGACCATATCCTGGCTGAGAAATGACCTCCGGGTCAGAATCATAGACAGACATCTTGAGGGAGGTAGATATTACAAGGACAAGGCAGTTATCATTGATGTGCCGTCACAGGGAATGTGCGTCTGCCGGACAGATGGTGGGCGAGTTGTTGAGAATGTGCCTGAGTTATCCTTAGAGACAGTTGTGCCCAGGGTGGAAGATGCTTGTGTAGCGATAGTTGGAGGGTCACACAGAGGTCAGATAGGGCACATCATGAAGAGAGACAAAGACAAGTGTCTGGCCCTGGTGCAGTTGCTGGCTGACAGGGACACGCTACTGAGGGTACCCTACAACCACATCTGTGAGTATGTTGGAGATGTACACCAGTGTCACGATTATTAGCTCAAATATTTAATGTCTGGACATCAGCTTCCTGGGAAAGAGTAGCTGCCACTGTTGATCCGTGCTCAAAGCTAGGTTGAGATGGAACTGGACTCTCCTACAAACAAGCACTTGCCAGCTGCAATATGCACAGATCAATTGTACCACAGTAACCTTTGTTTTCATCCCACATATCATGGGACAGGTGGACTTATGTGTGTTTCCATCCCAAATATCATGGGACAGGTGGACTTATGTGTGTTTCCATCCCAAATATCATGGGATAGGTGGACTTATGTGTGTTTCCATCCCAAATATCATGGGATAGGTGGACTTATGTGTGTTTCCATTCCACATATCATGGGATAGGTGGACTTATGTGTTTCCTTCCCACAAGAAAATAAAAGTGAGGATTCAATGTGTAATTCCATTGAACATGGCGTGGGACGTGTGGGCTTATGTGTGTTTCTCTCTCACATGGCAAAGACAGTGTGGATTTAACATCTTTACATCTTGTGTGTGTACATCTCACAGCCGACAAAGACAGTGTGGACTTAACATATGTTTCCATCTCACTGCAAAGACAGTGTGGTCTTAACATGTGTTTACATCACATAAAAAAGACACTGCGGATTTATCTGTTTCTCTACCACATGAAAATTGTGCGCTTGTGTGTTTCTCTCACCCACATGGAGTTTGTGAGCGTGTTTTTCTCTCCCACATGGAGAGAGTGGGTGTGGGCTCATATGTGTTTCTCTCTCACATGGAGATTGTGGGCTTATGTGTTTCTCCGTTTCACATGGAGAGTGTGGGCTTATATCTATTTCTGTCTCCCACCTGGAGAGTGGGGTCATATGTGTTTCGGCTTTCCTCCAAATAACAAGGCCTCAGTCACATGTAAGTTGCTGACTTCCGGCGACTATACTGCACCAGCGAGAGTATTTCCTGCGCCGCTGCGCGTGGCTAAATTAGATTGCTGGGACTCACGAGCTAAACTGTAGGAGACGCGGAGGCTGCTGCTCATGAGTCCTAGCCATCTAGTTTAGCCCCGTGCGTAGCGGCGCAGGAGATACTCGTGGCGGTATAGTTTCCAGTCTGCAATTTAAGTTGCCGGAAGTCCGCAATTTACATGTGACTGAGATCCTGTCAGGGTGTGTTTTTGGCCGCCATAATATGTGGCTGTTATTCAGAGGATAGCCTGTGTTTCTGTCTCCCACATGGAGATTGTGGGCTTATATCTGTTTCTGTCTCCCACATGGAGATTGTGGGCTTATATGTTTCTCTCTCCCACATGGAGATTGTGGGCTTATATCTGTTTCTCTCCCCCACATGCAGATTGTGGGCTTATATCTGTTTCTGTCTCCCACATGGAGATTGTGGGCTTATATCTGTTTCTGTCTCCCACATGGAGATTGTGGGCTTAAATCTGTTTCTCTCTCCCACATCTAGATTGTGGGCTTATATCTGTTTCTCTCTCCCACATGGAGATTGTGGGCTTATATCTGTTTCTCTCTCCCACATCTAGATTGTGGGCTTATATCTGTTTCTCTCTCCCACATGGAGATTGTGGGCTTATATCTATTTCTCTCTCCCACATCTAGATTGTGGGCTTATATCTGTTTCTCTCTCCCACATGGAGATTGTGGGCTTATATCTGTTTCTGTCCCCCACATGGAGATTGTGGGCTTATATCTGTTTCTCTCCCCCACATGGAGATTGTGGGCTTATATCTGTTTCTCTCTCCCACATGGAGATTGTGGGCTTATATCTGTTTCTCTCCCACATGAAGATTGTGGGCTTATATCTGTTTCTCTCCCACATAAAGATTGTGGGCTTATATCTGTTTCTCTCCCACATGAAGATTGTGGGCTTATATCTGTTTCTCTCCCACATGAAGATTGTGGGCTTATATCTGTTTCTCTCCCACATGGAGATTGTGGGCTTATATCTGTTTCTATCTCCCACATGGAGATTGTGGGCTTATATCTGTTTCTCTCTCCCACATCTAGATTGTTGGCTTATATCTGTTTCTCTCTCCCACATGCAGATTGTGGGCTTATATCTGTTTCTCTCTCCCACATCTAGATTGTGGGCTTATATCTGTTTCTCTCCCACATGAAGATTGTGGACTCATATCTGTTTCTGTCTCCCACATGGAGATTGTGGGCTTATATCTGTTTCTCTCTCCCACATGAAGATTGTGGGCTTAAATCTGTTTCTCTCTCCCACATCTAGATTGTGGGCTTATATCTGTTTCTGTCTCCCACATGAAGATTGTGGGCTTATATCTGTTTCTCTCTCTCACCACATCTGTTTTCTCTCTCTCTCACATGTGGGCTTATATCTGTTTCTCTCTCCCACATGAAGATTGTGGGCTTATATCTGTTTCTCTCTCCCACATGGAGATTGTGGGCTTATATCTTTTTTCTCTCTCCCACATCTAGATTGTGGGCTTATATCTGTTTCTCTCCCACATGAAGATTGTGGGCTTATATCTGTTTCTGTCTCCCACATGGAGATTGTGGGCTTATATCTGTTTCTCTCTCCCACATGGAGATTGTGGGCTTATATCTGTTTCTCTCTCCCACATGGAGATTGTGGGCTTATATCTGTTTCTGTCTCCCACATGGAGATTGTGGGCTTAAATCTGTTTCTCTCTCCCACATGGAGATTGTGGGCTTATATCTGTTTCTCTCTCCCACATGGAGATTGTGGGCTTATATCTGTTTCTCTCTCCCACATGAAGATTGTGGGCTTATATCTGTTTCTGTCTCCCAAATGAAGATTGTGGGCTTATATCTGTTTCTCTCCCCCACATGGAGATTGTAGGCTTATATCTGTTTCTCTCCCCCACATGGAGATTGTGGGCTTATATCTGTTTCTCTCCCCCACATGGAGATTGTGGGCTTATATCTGTTTCTCTCCCCCACATGGAGATTGTGGGCTTATATCTGTTTCTCTCCCCCACATGGAGATTGTGGGCTTATATCTGTTTCTCTCTCCCCACATGGAGATTGTGGGCTTATATCTGTTTTCTCTCCCCCACATGGAGATTGTGGGCTTATATCTGTTTCTCTCCCCCACATGGAGATTGTGGGCTTATATCTGTTTCTCTCCCCCACATGGAGATTGTGGGCTTATATCTGTTTTCTCTCTCCCACATGGAGATTGTGGGCTATATATCTCTCCCACTGATTGTCTCTGTTTCTCTCTCCCACATGAAGATTGTGGGCTTATATCTGTTTCTCTCTCCCACATGAAGATTGTGGGCTTATATCTGTTTCTCTCCCCCACATGAAGATTGTGGGCTTATATCTGTTTCTCTTTCCCACATGGAGATTGTGGGCTTATATCTGTTTCTCTTTCCCACATGGAGATTGTGGGCTTATATCTGTTTCTCTTTCCCACATGGAGATTGTTGGCTTATATCTGTTTCTCTCCCCCACATGAAGATTGTGGGCTTATATCTGTTTCTCTTTCCCACATGGAGATTGTGGGCTCATATCTGTTTCTCTCCCCCACATGAAGATTGTGGGCTTATATCTGTTTCTCTTTCCCACATGGAGATTGTGGGCTTATATCTGTTTCTCTCTCCCACATGAAGATTGTGGGCTTATATCTGTTTCTCTTTCCCACATGAAGATTGTGGGTTAATATCTTTTTTTCCCCACCCACATGAAGAGTGTGGGTGTATATGTGTTTCTCTCACCCTCATGGAGAGTATGGGTTTATGTGTTTCTTTTACCCACAAGGATTGTAGTCTTATAGTCTTTCTCTCTCTCTCACTTGGAGATCATGGGCTTATGTGTGTTTTTCTCTCACATGGAGATTGTTGGCTTATGTGTGTTTTTCTCTCACATGGAGATTGTTGGCTTATGTGTGATTCTCTCTCTCATATGGAGATTGTAGGCTTTGATATGTTTCTCTCCCCTGTGGAGATAGTGGGCTTATATGTGTTTGTCTCTCACATAACAGGATGGGGACTGTGTATGCATTCACCCCACTTGCAGAGGAAGTTTTGACTTGTGTATTTTTGTTTCACACAGCATGGAGCTCATGCCCTCAAAGTTCTTGTGTGTTTACACACGCACACGCATGCACAGACACATACACATGCATGCACACAGACACACACACATATATATATATGCAGAAATTAAACAGCATAAAGAACCTATGGCAAAGCAAATTAGTAAAAATCTGGAGATCATGCATTTGTCCACGATTGTGAATCCTAGACTCTGACTATCACTGAAGAAAAAGATGACCATGGATCAAGAAGAGGGAAAAACGTGGACATTCTACACAAGTTAATCATCCAGGAGAACTGGCTTGTAAATAGTGTCCTGTCCTGAAAGTTGAAGTATTTTGGCCACATGAAACGTTCTGGTGGCTTGGACAAGAAGGGTGCAGTTTGTGGAAAGTCAGGCAGGGGTCGACCTCTGTGAAAATGGATACAGGACATTAAAGATGCATTGGCATTGAAAATGCATGGGGCTGGAGAGTTGGCTAGGGAGAGGGATACTTTCGGGCGTACCGCCAGGAGAGCCATGTTCTGTAAAGAACTTGCTCATTGATGATAAATATATATATATATATATATAAGAGACTGACATAGAAAGAGAAACAGACCGAAGAGAGACATCAAATAAATGTGAAGACTTTGTGATATCTGAAACAATGTCTATGTTGCCGTTGATGGTTTTCCATGTTTTAACTGATCTGATATCTGTTGCCAGATAGCACACACATTTTGATTGTTCAAAACTGAATTGCCTTATATACTGTGTGTGTGTGTGTGTGTGTGTGTGGCTTACAGGGCCCCATTGTGGGGGGAAACACAAATAGCTGTGCTGTGCTATTGATGCTCCCACTGTGTGAGAGAGAGAGAGACATAAATCATGGACAAGAATGTTGGTAAATAAAACTGGAAATAACATTCTTACTGTGTATGTATATGTGTTTGTGTGTGTGTGTGTGTGTGTGTGTGTGTGTGTGTGTGTGTGTGTGTGATGGAGTAA